ATATAGGTTGAAAAGGTATGGAGATAGGATGCATCCCTGGCGTACGCCCTTCCCAATTTTGAACCATGCAGTGTTCCCTTGCTCTGTTCTGCCGACTGCCTCCTGGTCCAAGTATAAGTTTCGCATTACATTCTGTATAGTTAGTTTAATTTCCTTTAAATTTATTGACATTAGTTGTATGACCAAAGATGTAATCGGTATAGGTACATGTTCTATAGGCACCTGAGAGGAAAAAAAAAAAGCAAAGCATATTCTGCCCTTGTTGGATGGAGTGTTGTATGTTAACTAGGTCTTTGTTGGAGTGTTATTCAGCTCTATATCCTTGGTCATTTTTTTCTCTAGTAGTACTATCAATTTCTGACATGCTTGTACTGAAATCCCCAATTGTAATTAGGGACTTGTTTATTTCTGCGTTTATTCTACTTGTTGTAAGGTTCAAGTGTATTTAGAGATAACCCAGAAAAAGGTCTGATCTACTTCAGAAAATCTACTCACTGAGAACCCTGTGAAGCATAGTTCTGCTCTGGCACATGGCTTTGCTATGAATTAGAGTTGGCTTGATTTTAGCTTTTGTTGGTTGTTGTTGAATGAGTGTGCATTTAGAATCATAGATTTTTCTAATTGATTCTTACATCATTATGTAATGTTCATTGCCATTGCTAGTAATTTTCTTTACTCTGAAGTCTTCCCCCCCTCAGATATTAGTATAGCCACTCTTAGTTTTAAAATTTATATTTGCATCCTGTATTTTTTTTCCCCTTTTGATTTGAACCCAGCTATGGGTTGGTTCTGACTCTACAATACACAACAACAATAAAATGTACTATATATATTTGTGGTAATTATTGTTAAGCTTACCATTTTATGATATGTTTTCTGTTAATTTTCTTTTATTTCCCCACCCCTTCTCCAGCCCTCTTGCTTTTCTGTGGAGTGTAGAACATTTTTCAGGGTTCCAGCTTATGTTTTTGAGTGTGTTTTTCATAGTGTTTACTGTATAGTTTGTGTGTGAGACTTACCGGTCTGCTGGTATCAACATTTTATCATTTCAAAGGACTAGTACAAAGCTCATTTTCATTTCTCTTTCCCATTTTTAAATGTCTTTGTCTTGAATTCCAGATAGATTGTAATTTTTCCTCAAATCTTCAAATGTGGTTTGTGAAGCTTAAATGGAAATGTGTAGTCTTATGTATCTATGGTTCTATAGTCCCCCCCTTTTTTTATTAAATGACATAGCTTTAAAATCCTTGCATATCCTTCATCTTGCTATTAACATCAGTTGTAATTCTCTTGGTTCCTGTTGTGCCCTATCAGAGTCAGAACTGCCTCGTAGCTGACCCTCCAGTGGGTTTTCAGAGGCAGTTAATCACATGGAAGAAGATTACTCATCCTTCTCCTGGGGAGCTGCTGGTGGATTCAAACTGCTTGCCTTTGTGATTGCAGCACAGCTTCTCACCACTAGCCCACTACAGCTCCCTTAGTGGGTGATTTGTTATTGTATCCTTTTTATTTTGCCTACTGAAGGGAATTGAGCTAGCTAACCCAAAGGTGGCGCCTCTCTAGCTTGAATCCACCAGCTACTCCTTGGGAGAAACATAGACATCCTTCTCCTCTAAGCTTTACAGTCTCAGAAATCTCCCTGGAGGGTCAGCCATGAGTCAGTACTGACTTGACAGTGGGTTTTTTGAGAAGAGACTGAGTCATGTTTAAATCTTTTAACAGGAGGTCTTCTTGTTTAGGTTTAACATGCCGGTTATCTTGTTATAGCTGTTTATTCTCAAATCTAATCCTCGTATGTATGTGCCTTTTCCTACATTTATGCTCACTTCCGGGGCTTTCTGTCCTCAGTATAGTTTTGGTTTTACTGTGATACCGCTTTGTCTGTGCTGGACAAGCTGCTTTTGTCTGTCTATAGTGGTGGTTGATTCAGCTTTTTGTTTCCTACATTCAGATAGATGATATGTTTTGTTTCAAAGTAGACGGTATGACTGATTCTTTATGTGGATGCGAGTTCAGAACCTCACCACTCAGTTTAGTGTATGATGACAATTTGGCTTCACAAGGAAATAGAAAAGCCATTACACATTGCCTAGTTCCTTTTGTTCTTGATTTATACTATTGATGTTTACTATTAAAGTACTAGAATCAGAGATTTATATTTGTGCTCAGTTTCTGACCTTGACCTTGGGAGTAGAAAAAAAAAAATCCACTGCATTTGAGTTGTTTCTGACTGAAACAAGTCCTTCATTTAAGTTTCTGATGTTGTAATTTCCTTGTGGGAGAGGACTGTTTATTTTTCACCTTTAGATTAAAACTGCTGACCTTTTGGTTAGCAGCAAAATATGTTACAAACTATGTCACCATGACTGCTTGAAGTTTAAAATATTTTTTTAAATACTAGTTTATTTATAAAATTTGAATACATTGTTTTTCAGACCAGATTCTTCCAATTTCCCTTACCCTCCCCCATCAAATTGATTAATTTCCACCCTGCACATCCTTATTCCTCTGCTTTTACCCTAATCACCCCAATCCTCATACTCATTCTATAGTAATGGTTTTATACAATATTTGTCCCTGTGGGACTGAGTTAATTCACTCAGCATAATGCTCTCCAGTCCCTCCCAACTTAGGTAAAAATTTACAGAATCATTATTCCTGCGTGCTGTGTAGTATTTCATTGTATGAATGTACAATAATTTCTCAAACCATTTGTTTGTGGTTGCACATTTGGGCTGCTTCCATATTCCTGCCATGGTGAATAACGCTGCTATGAACATTTGTGTATAAGTCTCCATTTGTGCCTAAGTTATCATTTTCTTGGGGTATATGCCAAGCAGTGGAATAGCTGGGTCATATGGAATTTCTGTATTCAGCTTTTTGAGGAAGAGCCAAACTGCCTTCCATTATGGTTGTACCATTTTATAATACCACCAGCACTGCATAAGAGTTCTTTTCTTGCCACATTCTTCACAACATTTATTACTTCCTGTCCTGTTAAACTTTGCCACTGTTACTAGAGTGAAATGGGACCTCATGGTGGTTTTGATTTGCATTTCTTTAATTGCCAGTGATTTGGAGCATTTCTTCATGTGTCTCTTGGCCATTTGAATATCTTCCTCTGTGAAAATTCTTTCAATGTTTTTGCCCATTTTGTAATTGGGTTATCAGTCTTTTTCTTGTGGAGTCCCTGTAGAAATTCTGCAAACTTCATTATGAGACTCTTGTCTGAGGTGGTATTCCCAAATGTTTGTTCTCAGTAGGTTCTCTTTTTACCCTGTTGGAAGAGTTTTTGATGCACACAAGGATTTAGAAGGTCCCATGCATCAATTTTCTCCTCTTCAGATTGTGCATTTCTGGCTGTATGTGACAGTCTCATTATACCATAGACTAGGACTTCTAAGCTTGATCCTAATTTGGTGTCTGATCCACCTTGAGTTAATTTTTGTGGCTTGTTTGAGGTATAGATCCTGTTTCAGCTTTCTGCAGGTAGAAATCCAGTTTTACCAGCACCATTTGTTAAAGACATTATAATTTCCCCATGTGATAGGTTTTATTTCCTTGTAAGATATCAGTTGATCATAGATAGCTGGGTCTATTTCTGGGTTCTCAATTCTACTCCATTGTTGTATGTGCTTGTCATTGTACCAGTGCCATATTGTTTTTGTTACTACTGCTGAGTAGTAGGTTTTGAGGTCAGGAAATGCTATGCCTCCCACCTCAGTTTTGTTTCTCAGAAGTGTTTTGCTTATTTGGGGTCTCTTGCCTCTCTAAATAAATTTGACAGTTTCACTTTTGATCTCCTTGAAAAATGAATTTGTTATCTGGATTGTTACTGCATTGAATATGTAGATTGCTTTTGTTAGGATAGTCATTTTCACTATACTAAGTCTTCTATCCATGAACAGGGCACATTTTAACATTTCTTTAGGTTTTTTATTTTGTCTTGCAGAAATGCTCTGTAGTTTTGTTTTGTTTTTTTTATAGGGCTTTTGTATCTCTAGTTAGGTTCACTCTAAGGTATTGCAATTTGTGGTTAGCTATTGTAAATGGTATTGCTTTCTTGATTTCATTCTCTGAGCTCTATTTGTTACGGTAGAAGAATCCTACTGATTTTTGGATATTGATCTGTTGGATATATCCTGCCTCTCTACTAAATTGGCCTACTAACTCTTAACGGTTTTTTGGTTGAGTCTTTGGGGTTTTCTGTGTATACTGTCATATCATCTGCATATCGAGACAGTTTAACCATCTCTTTGCTGATCTGGATCCCTTCCCCTCCCCGCTTCTCTTGTATTGCCCTTGTAAGAACTTTCAATACAGGATTGAAAAGAAGTGTTGACAGTGGTCATCCTTGTCTAGTCAGAACAATTCAACTATTACAGTTCTTACTAAGATAAGGTGGTGAGTGGTGTATGGACAGTCTTTGGTATGGGTGAAAAACCTAAGATTAGAACGTTTTGCTTGTCTCTGTGCAGACTGTGGTCAACCACTGTATGATTGCCCCATGTGTGGACTCATCTGTACGAACTACCATATTCTCCAAGAACACGTTGACTTGCATTTGGAAGAAAACAGCTTTGGACAAGGTATGTTTTTGTATGCTTAAAGATTAAAATGACCTGATTTACTTTCTGCTTCTGATCCTTTAAATAGTTCTTACATAGCTGCAACTTATTGTGATATTTTATATTGTTATTACTGTTGAGAATACATATAGCAAAACATAGACAAGTTTAACTGTTACTACATATATAGTTCAAGGACATTATTTGAGTTATACAATCGTTTCACTCTTTTCTGAGTTGTTCCCCCTCAATTAATATAAGTTCGCTGCCTCCTATGGTTCTTATCTAATCTTTCAAGTTGGAATGGTCACTTTGATCTCATATGTTGCTGCTGTTGTTAGGTGCTGTCAAATCAAGTAGTGACCCTATGAACAATAGATCTGAACCCTATTGTATGCTGTGCTATCCTCACACTTTCTGGCACGTTTGGGCTCATTGCAGCAATCACTATGTCAGTCCATCTGGTTGAAGGTGTTCTTCTCTTTCTCTGGCCCTTCACCTTTTCAAACATAACATGTTAGCCTGTGCTAGAAACATGCCTGAAGTATGTGAGATTAATTGATCTTATAGATATACTGGGTTTTGTTGTTTTGTTTTGTTTTTTTTTAGTTTTCCCTATAGATAGTTCTTAAAAGAATGTAATGCTCAAAGTATAATACCTTTTTAGTACTTAAGCTATAGTCTGACATACTTTGAACATGTTGTAAGGAGGGACCGGTCCTTAGAGAGGGACATCATGCTTGGAAGGGTGGAGGGACAGCACAGGAGGGGGATTGATTCAGTGACTGGGGTAATCAGGATGGGAGTGTCAGAGACAGTGCGATTGGCACAGGACAGAGCAGAGTTTAGGGCTGTTGTGCATAGGGTCGCTATGAGTCGCAAGCGACTCAACGGGACATAACAACAACAACAAGCTATATTGTTTCGTTTTAAGAAAATTGAAGTCTGAAGGGATATTTTTCTTTTAAGGTTTAAAGATTATTTTAGCAAAATAGTTTCAAAGATTTATCTCACCCTCCGTAACTCCAGAAAGTCTAGAGTTCATGAGAATTTGGAATTCTGTTGTGTCCTCCCTTTTGATTATGATTCTTCTAGAAAATCTTTGGACAAAATGTTTAATAATGGTAGCTGGGTAGTATGTAATTCTGATCTCAGGTACAGGAGGCAACTCTTTATGGAGGCAATTAAACACTTGGTCTATATTCTTGGTCTCTAAATTTTTCATTTTTTTTTCTCCAAGTAAATAAAGATTAGTTGTTGTACTTTGAATGACCCCTTTTATTGCTTTAACTGTTTGAAAGTTATTTCATAGGAAACTTGTAAAGAATGAACTATTGTGACTTGAGCTTGGTTTTTATAGTAAAGATTTTGCTCCAGAGAATTGATATCTAGAGAATACAAATATTTAATACAATGACTTTAAATAATATGTTGTTGTTACCATTGAGTTGAGCACGACTCATAGTAATCCTATAAATGTAAGACTTGAAGCCTTTCTATAACCAGTCATTTCTCAAAATTTGTTGTTTCCAGAGGCATGTTGCTTAGAAAGTGGATGCCATGCCTGCTTCCAAATAAATAACATACAGATTTAAAAATATGTTTGTTTACAAGTTGAGGTCATTCAATAGCCAGCAGAAATTAGCATCTAATCAGTAATAATTGATACTGAACTAGGATGCTGCCATAAGAGACATAGAATATTTTTTTGAACGTTCTAGCTGTATGAATTAGAAATATTTCAGGTGCATTTCCAGCTCCTTTCTCCAGCTTCTGAAATTACCAGTTGCTGATTTTATCGCAATCGTTAAAGTTTTACTTCTTGTCTAAATCAGGCCTCCTGGTGCTTCAAGGGACTCTAGTGCTTTGGTTAAAGTGTGTGGCTGCTGATCAAAAGAGCAACTCTCTAACTCTACCACTTGCTCTTTGGAAAGAAGATGTAACTTTTCTCATTCCTCAAAATTTTTACAGTCTTAGAAACACTATAGGCCAGTTTTATTCTATCTTTAAAGGGCTGTTTTGAGCTAAAATTGACACAGTGACAATGAATTTGTTGTTTGTTATGGTAACTTAGAAAAGGAAAGATAGAAGTTACTCAGTCTTCCCTGAAGGAAAAAAGAGAAAGTCTCTGGAGGAAACCAGTTGTATTCTACCTGCTTTCAGTGTCCTAAGATACATAAGAAGGAACCGTGGTCACATGGTACGTTACATGTTGGGCTGCTAACATGTCAGTGGTCAGTGATTCAAATCTACCAGCCATTCACTGGGAGAAAAATGGACAGTTCCCCAAGAAAAATTTACATTTTCAGAAGCTCAGTGGAGTACCATGAGTCACAATCGACTCAATGTCAGTAATTAAGGTCCATTGATACCTTCTATTAGTAAACAGTATTTTGTTCCTAACACTTGTAACTGTGATCTTCCAGCATTATAATACCTGCTCACTTAGCCTAATTATACAATGAAAGTTTCTGGAGCAATAATGGGATCATATATATGTATAGGTTTCACATTAGCACAATCAAATGTTCTGGGATTCCCATTCTTCTCAGAGTCAGCCATAGCTTGTTTTGATCCACACAGTCAAAAGCCTTTGCATAGTCAGTGAAGCCCAGATAGACATTCTTCTGGTAGTCTGCCTTAATTGAATTAAAGTGCTATCATGAACAATGTTAACTTCTCTAACCCCTAGTATTCTCAACGAATAATAAAATTTGAGGTTATTATAGTATTAAGCAAAAGAAATAGTTAATGAAGTATATTTGTCACAGCTTAAACACTGTGAATATTCTTTATTTAAGTGGAGGCTATTCCATTATAGTATCAGTTTTACATTTTGTGCTCTAGTAGTGTGAAATGACAGTTATGAATAAAGGACAAAATAATGGCATTTACTCTATTTTATAAATATTTAAGCTTTAATTGCAGTGATTATTCTAACCATTAAAAATGCCTGATAGGTATGGATAGAGTCCAGTGTTCTAGGGATCTAGAACTGGCTCACCAGCTTCAACAGGAAGAAGACAGAAAGAGGAGATCTGTAGAATCAAGACAAGAATTGAAAGAATTTCAGAAACTTCAGGTACAAAGTTTAAAAGCTACTATATGTGTTTGTTTGGTCGAGTGTTTATTTTTCGAACATGCTTTCAATACCAAAGTCTGTTGTATGTTATTCACAGTTTATGTACCTGTTTCCTATTTCTCAGTAGCCAACACTTGTAAGTACTCAGGTCTGTTCAGGTACTGATATAAAATAGTTTATATGTAGCACTTCAAAATCTTTCCAACAACTACACAAAGAAGTTATTTTAACTCTTTTTTTACAGATAAGGAAATGGAGATAAGGAATGGCTAAGTAACTTTCTCAGTCAGGCAGCTTTTAAGTGGTAAAGCTTGGATTCTAAAATATGTAAGTTGATGAGGCAATCAAGACTTAGAACTTAAGTTTGTATACCCACTACTCACTGTCTTCTAGTTGTTTGCACATTACGGCAAATCACCATCCGGCTTCCAAGGATGTAAATATTCATAGGAGACCTCTCATCTGTCTCCTTTTGAGAGACTGATAGATTTGAACTGGCAACTATTCAGCATGTAAAGACACTATGCCAAAATTAATGTGTTTTTTCTAAGTCTTGCATTCTTATAGAAGTTGTGATTGAAGAACTCTTTTTAAAGGGAAAATGCTCTTTGATGTTATATTGAGACTTCATTATCTTAAATGAGGTTATCTACTGAACTAAATTGGCAGCATCTGTAATATTTGTAATACATTTAAATTTTTAATAGACTTCTACTTTTTTCATTCCTAATTGGCTGTGGACTATTGTGTCATTTTGCTGACAGTGGTCACCCAGAGTTTTTAAATTATTCCCCCCATGTTTCAGTAAGATACTATGTAAACAACACAGATTTATGTTCAAATAGGTTTATATATATATGAATGCACATTGTACAATGCTAATGCACATATCCTTATTTTCCCAGATGTATTTGATCAGAATTTTTTTTTTTTTTTGCTCCTTACACATCGTCCATTTTGCTCTTATTCCTTGAAATCCACTTTGAAATAGCAAAGTCAGGCTGTTTTTCTCACTGATGATACTTGGAAAATATTTGCCTACCAGGATTCAGAGGACAAACAGATACTGGCTTTTCCTTTGTCTTTGTCTTAATTAGTAGTGAACATTATCAGTACAAAAGTTTACAATGTATAAAAGGGTTTTCTTATGTAATTTTTATGTTAATTGTTTTAAGTTCGATCTCACTTTTCCATACAGATGAGTTTCATGCTTATGATTTGAAACTTTCAATCCAGTTTACAAAAATATGGCTCTTAGACTGAACATGGATTGAATGGGCTATCTTGAAGATAAATAAGGATTCAGACAGATTTCCTTGGGAAAATCAGCAGTATGTTTAGAATACCTATACCTTCACAGGATCTCTTTATTTTCTTTACTATAAAGAAGGCAAGTTTCTTGCCACAATGATTATTTGAAAGGGCCGTTATTGAGTCAAGAATTATTTTGTGATTTTTTTTCCCCCCTCTTAAATATATTTCAGTTCACTTGCCTGATAAATCTGTTAAACAGAGTACTCCACAATTTGTCCCCACGTAAAAGAAAATTGTAAGTTTCCATCTTCGTTGAGATACCCTCCCTCCTTCCTCATTAATGTTACATCAGAACTGACTCATTGCTGACATTACAGTGGGTTTTCAGAGGTTTTAGACTTCCCAGTAAGAAGTTGCCTGTCTTTTTTCTGTGGAGCTAGTAGATTTGAACCACTCACCTTTGGGTTGTCAGGGCCACACACTACCCATTAGACCAGAGGAGCTTCATGGAGGTATAGAAATTTAAAAAAAAAAATGAAGTAATTTCCCTTTTATACTCAATAGAGACAATATGGTTTAGATAATTCTGGAGGATACAAACAACAACAACTACAAAATATGGAAATAGAAGTAAATAGAGGAAGAATGCACCCATCTGAATTTCATAGAAGAAAAGCTGACTTGATGGAATCCTTAGCTATTGGTATTGATGATGGAAAAACAAAAACTTCTGGTGAGTACTCAAGTACTAAAATCATGCTTTCATTGTTGCATATATTACGGGATTAATAATCAGAATTATTTGACATTTACTCACTTTTCTTATCTATGATTGGTATAATGTATTTACTTTTAAAAAAACTGTTATTTTCAGACTTGTGAACGCTTATTTTTGCGTGAATAATTGAAAGTAACTTACTTTAACATTGTGTCAGTTCTTTTATTGTTGAAATTAAAAAATAAAATGTACTTAAATACAATGGTGGACATATAGAGCAAAACAAAATAATAAATTTAATGTTGAATTAAGCAGTGAGCTGATTATTTGGGTCTCCAAATTGGCTTTGAACTCAAAACCACTTAAAAACATGGGAATGCTTTGTGTCAATTTTCTTCATAGTTAAAAATGAACCTTTAAAAACGGTTTTTACTGAGTGCTTCTTATGCAAACCCATTCTGTCTAATAGATAAAGTGAACCACATAGATTATTTTAAATTTCAAATATCTATACTTAGAAAAAAAGATAAAGTGAATATTTTTAATCCAATCAAATAAAAATCCATTTTTCTCTAGTGGAGTCCAACTAACAGCAGCCCTTCAGGTTTCTGAGACTGTAAACTCTGAGTGGAGAATCCTTATCTTTCTCCCCATACTGGCTGGTGGATTTAAAACTGTCAAGTTTTAGCAGCCCAGCTGACTACACCACCAGATTCCTATTTTAAACCCAGAGTGTCCAAAATATTATTTCAACATTTGTTGTTGTTTTGTGCCATCAAGTCAGCCGTGAACCATAGCGACCCATGTACAACATCCCTAAACCCTGCTCTGTCCTGTGCCAATCTCACTGCCTACCCCCATAACCCCAGTCACTGAATCAATCCATCCCATAGAGGGTCTTCCTCTCCTGCACTGTCCCTCTGCCCTCCCAAGAGTGATGTCCCTCTCTTATGGATGAGATACTTTACATTTGTATACCCTCTTGAATTCTAATCCCAGCTTCCACACAAAGATAACAATTTTGGACATGCTCATCCAGATTTAAACCATTTCTAGCTTTTCTTTCTCCCATAAATTACAAACCTATAATATCCTATAAGAGTTTCTCTAATAGTTTATTCAGAACTGGGCATGCTCAGCTAAAGGTCAGGTGCTTCTTCAGCTTTGTTAACCTTATCACTGAATTGCTTTCCAAAGTGGTTGTAATAATTTACATTCATACCAGTATATTCCAACTTACACTTTGTATGGTCACATTAATTATTGCCACTTAATGTGGTGCAATTAATGTTTTAAACTCCATTATTATTTTTAATTTCTTTTTCATTTAGTTTTTTGTTCCTTTTCTTTGCTATTTTTCTGTTGTTTGTCCTTTTTTTTTACTTTTGGGAATTCTTTATGCATTCAGTATACGAATTCTTTTTGGTTATATGAGATGTAAACATCTTCAGGTTTGCCTTTGAATTTTATGTGTGGTATTCTTAGAGTTCTGGTGGGCTAGTGGGTAAGGATTTGTGCTGCCAGCCTAAATACTGGGTGGTTTAAATCCACCAGTTGCTGCATAGGAAAAAGAGGAGCAGTTGATTCTTGTGCAGTTTACAGTCTCTGCAAACCTCTAGGAGGAGCTCCTGAGTCAGTTTCAACTTGATGGCAGTAAATTTTTGGAGATCCTTATTTAGAATTTAAAAAAATTAAATAGAATTGGATTTCTCAATCTCTCCTTTTATTTATTTTCTAAGCTTCTAATTTAAGAAATGCCTTCACCTTTGAAGTTAAATATTTTTTCTCTATTTATTTTCTTTAAATACTTGGAATTTGCTCTTCATATTTTCTTTTCTTTTTTTTCCAAGTTAGTCTCTGTGTGTGTGTGTGTGTGTGTATGAGAGAGAGAAAGAAGAAGGTACTATAAGTAATGTAATGTGTTTATTTATCTCAGTATCATTATTCTATATCCCTTGGGATGGATAATACTTCATGAGCACAATCAGGTTCAATGTGTTCAATTAGGCCACAACCAAAATTATAGTAAGAAGAATGGTGTGAAACAAAGGTAAATTTGAGGTTAGTTTGTTCTGTGCCATAGATTAAGACTATTCCCAAAGCAATAGGAGCTATTGATTGTTTTTGATTGGACTTCAGAGAGAGAGAATTTTACTTAAGAATAAGGCTTTCATTTCTTTTACCAGCAAGACTTCAGAGAGAGAAAGAGAGAGATCTCTGATAATATGTCATAAAGTTGGGAGACAAGAAGAACATATATTCAAAGTTTTATATGCTTGGCTCTACAGGTACATAGATTAATGATGGAAATAATTTTAATCCATTATAGCAGTTGGTATAAAGGGTAAGGAAACTTGGATACTAGTATCAAGCAAGGACATGAACTAAGGTGAGAGTAGAAAGAAGATAGAGGAAAAAAAGATGAAATTGATAGGGTTTAGATGTGGAGCTTGAGGGGAAAGTTGGTATTAGGAATTTGTGGGTCAGCTAGATCAGGATGATAAAATAGCTTTCAAAATATCTGTTTTCCCCCCTTAGGAATTATTGAAGCACTTCATAGATATTACCAGATTGCTGCCACAGATGTGAGGCAGGTGTGGCTTTCTGCAGGTGTGGATCACTTTCATTCATCATTAGGAGACAAAGGTTGGGGTTGTGGCTACAGAAATTTCCAGATGCTGCTTTCATCATTATTACACAATGATGCTGCTTATGATTGCTTGAAAGGTATGTGAAAAACAGTACTCTGAACTTGTTCTCTACTAGAGTGAATATGATGTGGATTAGTTTAATATGTTGTTCTGTTATTGGGCACCATTGAGACGATTATGACTATGGGAAACAGATTGGAATTTTACCTTAGAAATATAATTAATATGTAGCAGGCATAATTAATAGGGAACTTTGATGGCCTGCTGGTAAGAGCTGCATTGCAATCCCAAAGGCACATGGTTTGAATCCCCCAGCTGCTCTGCGAGAGAGGGATGGACAGTCTCCTCCTGTGCAGTGTACTGCCTCTGAAAACCTGCTGGAGGGCCAGCTATCTGAATTTTATTGAGAGAAAATGAAAATGTATGCAAGATAGTGTCAAGGATAATTAAAATCTTAAAGTCTGTATTGTTCGTTTCTTTATGATACTTGATAAACTGCTAAATTATACTGTCCAGCAACTTAGTAATAGTCATGTAATATGTTTGTATTATTTTAGGTATGTCAATTCCTTGCCTTCCTAAAATTCAGTCTATGATTGAAGATGCATGGAAGGAAGGGTTTGATCCACAAGGAGCCTCTCAACTCAATAATAGGTTACAGGGAACAAAGGCCTGGATTGGAGCATGTGAAGTATATACACTTCTGACCTCTCTTGGGGTAAAGTATGTACCCAAACCTTAAGTTAACATAATAGCTGTACCAGGGCACCATTTTTTTCACTTGTAAAGATTATTTTAAAAAAATAAATTATAAAATGTTTAAAAAATGAAATAAAATAGCAGTGAAAGGCTTATAAAGAAAACCAGCACTTACATTCTCACATGTTCCTCTTAATTTTAAACCCTGTTACTCAGAAGCAGCAGTTAACTTCATTGTTTGAAAAGAATATTTTTACATGGCTATTTTATGGGTTTATCAAACCACTTTGGTACCAGCAGTCAGAAAGTTAAAAGACATATGGCATTGGGAAATTCTTCAGTCAGGGGCTGACATTGTAGTCTGTTCTCCCAAGATTAATATCAGATTAGTTACTACTAAAAGGCAGAGGTAAAAAAGTCCTCCACATTTTGTCTGCAGTACCACTCCTTCAATTCTGTCATTAAGTGTTCCTCCTCTGTTCAGTTTCCTTACCCTGTCTTTGTCTTCTGTGTTCTGTGGTTTGCTGGAAAGTCTCACAGAAACTCAAAACTCATCAAGGACATTTCTCAACGTGACTGTGGGTGATGCACGTCAGTGTTACAGAGACTGGTGAACAAAGAGCCAGGATACTGAAGGCTGTCAGCTTTGGCGCAGCTGGATGTCATGTCCCAGGAGAGCAAGTGGCCCAAGAGAATGAACATTGAGCTTCCATGAGCTTATAAAGGCCCTTAGTAGGATAAGGCTTGTTTCCCACCCTAATCCTATCGCTTTAATGCGGTAAATACTTCATCAAGCTGAATATTAACACTAGAGCAAAGGGAAGAAATCAAGAAGTTAGGGAGCTGAGCAGAGGATTTCAAAAGGCAGCATAGGAAGACAAAGCATAGTATTATAATGAAATGTGCAGAGAGCTGGAGTTGGAAAATCACCAAAAGAGTCAAACTCACTTAGCATTTCTTAAGCTAAAGGAACTGAAGAAAGAAGAAAAAAAAAAAGGAACTGAAGAACAAATTCAAGCCATAAGTTGCAATACTTAAGGATATAGCGGGCAGAATATTAAATGATCCAGGAAACATTAAGAGAAGATGAATTTCATGAAACAACATATGATCAAGAGGCAATGGTGATAAGGGAGGAAGTTTAAGCTACTTGGAAGGAACTGGCAAAAAAAGGCTCCAGAAATTGACGTAATCCCTGTTTATATATTTGAACAAACAGATGCTGCTCTGAACATGCTTACCAAGTTGTGCCAAGAAATCTGAAGGACAACTACCTGGCCAATTTACTGGAAGAGATCCATATGTATTCCTATCCCCAAAAAAGGTGACCCAACAGTGGAAATTATCAAAAGGTATCACTAATACCACACACAAGCAAAATAACTGGAACAGTCCATTGACAGAGAACTACCAAAAATACAAGGCAAATTTAGAAGAGGCCATGGCACTAATGAGCCATTGTTGCCAATGTTGGATGGATTTTGGCTGAAAGCAAAGAGTACCAGAGGAATGTCTGTGTTTCATTAACTATCAAAGTTGACTCTGTGGATGACAATAAATTGTGTCTAACCTTAAGAATGGGAATCCCAGGACACTTGATTTTGCTCATGTGAAACCTATGTTTGGACCAGGAAGCAGTCCTCAGAACAGAGCAAGGAAACACTACATGGTTGAAAATTAGGAAAAGAGTGTGTCAGGAATACATCCTGTCTCCATACCTTTTCAATCTGTGTGCAGAACAGATCATTTGAGGGGATAGACTTTAGGAGGAGGAATGTGGCATCAGGATTGGAGGAAGACTCATCAACAACCTACGTTATGCAGATGACACAACCTTGCTTGACAACCTGAAGCATTTGCTGCAGAAGGTCGAGGACTATAGTCTTCAATATGGATTGAAGCTCGACATCAAGAAAACAAAGATTCTCATTACTGGGCCAATTGACAACATCATGATAGATGCAGAAGAGATTGAGGTTGTTAACAATTTCAGCTTGCTCAGCTCCACAGTTAACACTCTTGATACCAGCAGTCAGAAAATCAAAAGATGAATTACACTGGGGATGCCTGCTGTTAGGGACCTCTCCAAAGTGTTAAAGAGCAATGATGTTAGTCTAGAGACTAAAGTGCACCTGAAGCAGGCCATGGTCTTTGCAGTTATTTTACTATGCATCAGAGAGCTGGACAATAGCTAAGTATGACAGAAGTAGGAGCGATGCCTTTGAGTTGTGATGGTGGAGAAAAGTATTGGATATACCATGAACCAACAAGAGAGCAAGCCGGTCTGTTTTGAAGAGGGTGAAACCAAGTTTCTCCTTGGAGGCAAGGGCTTTGAAGCTCAATCTATATACTTTAGGCATGTAGTCAGGAGGGACCAATCCTTGGAGAAGGTCATCATGCTTGCAAGAGTGGAGGGACAGCGCAGGAGAGGAAGACTGCAGATGAGATGAATTGACACAGTAACTGGGGTAATGCGAGTAACTGTATTGGAGCCAGTGATATTGCCTCAGGATAAGGTAGGGTTCAGAGCTATTGTACAGAGGGTCGCAGTGAGTTTTGGGTAGCTCAGTGGCACATAATAGCAATAGTGTGGTAAGACTTACATTCTGCTTACATAAGATTATGTCTAATCCTATCTCCTTAATTCAGTCCATCATTAGAAAATGGGAGGCTTTGCATGGAAGGGCTACTTGAATTCATTGTACCACAGATACCTGGCTCTGGCAGCCACGACCCTTTACTATGCCACAGACAACCCCCCTGGCTTTCCTAGCCACACATCCCCTTACAGTCCTCATACTAGCAACTGCATTTATGAAAGTCTGTAAACCAGATACTTTGTCTTATTCTTTTATCCCCCATATTTTAGATAGTCAGTTTCTGATTAGCCCATCCCTATCCAGCCAGCATTCTGAAGAAATAAGCATGTTCTTTTTTCTGAAGAATCTTCTGTTACAATTAGGAATTTCAGCATCTGCATCGGTAAGCAAAGCTCAGTTCATAGCAAGCCATCAGGTTGCAGCAATCAACACTAGGTCACAGCATGATACATTCTCTCTTCATCTGGTTGGCTTCTGCTTGACTCATTCCTAACCAAACATGGCTAGATCCAAATGGGCACCAGCTGCAAACTCCGGAGTCCACATATCTTTCTGCATTTCAGACCTGCTGGTTATTTCATTAATCCTTATTGACCTGAGCTAAGTCAGTAAGTCATGGGTTCTCCTGATTCCCTGCTCCTTAAGCCAGCAACCCTACTTCATTTATCCGTGCATTTGTGCCTGCGAGATCAACAGTGTGCATGGAACATGTCCAATCTCTGCCTGTCTGGTCATTACTGCCTACCTCTCACTGTCACTCCAGTGGACCCAGACGGTCACCATCAGTAAGGATACTTGCCAGCTCCCTATAACTTCAAGTCCTGGAAGGGGACTCTGATGGACACCACCTTTACTGTGCCTCAGAATCCAAAAACCTTGTTCCAGTTTTAAAAAGTAAAAAAAAAACAACCTCTCTTTTTTTTTTTCTTTCTGCTTACTTTCTTTCAAATGTCATTCTCTTCTGTCAAATGTAAAATGTGAATCTCTTCAGTTCAAGGTGGGTCTTCAATCCATTCAAATGAAAATCTGGGTACTGAGTGGGGCTTAATCTTCCCCTAGGCTAAGCCTCATGCCCTCTATCAAGTTGTTCCTTCAACAAGCATTTCTCCAGGATTAATCTTCCCTTGGAACACATTCAGTCAAGCACTAGCGGATGGTGAATTTACATGCTTTTTATACTCTGTAATAACCAGACCTGAAGCACCTGCTGCAGAGAGGACTGCAGCCTACAATATGGATTGAGGCTCAATGTCAGTAAGACAAAGATTCTCACCACTGGACCAATTGGCAGCATCAGGATGGATGGTGAAGAGATTGAGATTGTACACAGCTTTAGTTTGCTTGGCTCCACAATCAACACTCTTGGCACCAGCAGCCAGGAAATTAAAAGGCGCATTGCCATGGAAAAGTCTGCTGTTAGGGACCTCTCCAAAGTACTGAAGAGCAATGGTGTCTCTCTGGAGACTAAGGTGCGTCTGATACAGGCCATTGTCTTCGCAATCACTTGTTATGCATCAGAGAGCTGGACAATGGCCAAGAAGGACAGAAGGAGAATTGATGCCTTTGAGCTGTGGTGCTGGAGAAGAGTATTGAGAATACCATGGACTGCTAGGAAAACAAACAGATTTGTCCTGGAAAGGGTTAAACTGGGTGGCTCCTTGGAGGCAAGGATTCTGAGGCTCCGTCTAACATACTTGGGACATGTTGTGAGGAGAGACGGGTCCTTGGAGAAGGACATCATGCTTGGGAGGGTGGAGGGACGGCGTAGGAGAGGAAGGCCCTCTATGAGGTGGATTGATTCAGTGACTGGGGTAATCGGGATGAGAGTGTCAGAGACAGTGTGATTGGCACAGGACAGAGCAGAGTTTAGGGCTGTTGTACACAGGGTTGCTATGAGTCGTGAGCGACTCGACCGCATGTAACAACAACAACAATAACAACACATATAAAAACCTTACCTAAAATATCATCCTGAGGTTTTACCTCTCAAGTACTGCTATCAGTAAAACTGTCTCTGACTGTTGTTAACAACAACAAACAACACGAATATTACTACATCCAGTATTAATTTTTACAATGCATCTTAACATGAAAAGAAACAAGAATGAAACATTAATATCCATAAAGTTCAGTCAACAAAAATCTTAATACAAAAACCTCTATCCTTACAGTACCATCATTACCTATATCCTGTTCATATGCATATGATCTCAGGCCTCTGCCGTTTATCTTGGTCCAAAAGCATTTTCTTTCCATCTTTGTAGCAGTAAATGTAACTATTTAGCTGTACTACACAAGCCACAAGGACTTCAAAGAGTCTTCCGGCTTTACCCTCTCCAGGACAAACCTATTTGTTCTCCTAGCAGTCTATGGTATATTCAGCACTCTTCTCCAGCACCACAGCTCAAAGGCATCAATTCTCTTTCTATCATCCCTATTCACTGTCCAACTCTTTGAAGCATAATACGTAATTGTGAAGACTATAACCCGGATCAGGCACACCTTAGTCTCCAGTCTGACGTCGTTGCTCTTCAGTACTCAGAGAGGGGCATCATGTTTGGCAGAGTGGAGGGGCGGGGAAGGAGAGGAAGACCTTCGATGAGATGGATCGATTCTGTGACTGGAGTGGTGGGAATAAGTGTGTTTGAGATGCCTAGGTTGGCACAGGATAGAAGAGGGTTTACAGCTCTTGTACATAGGGTCACTGTGAGTCGCAAGCGACTCAGTGGCACATAACAACAAACAACAACGCAAGCCACTAACATAACTCTTACAAAATCTCACACTTCCATGAGTGTGGAGCCATTGCCAGAAATCTCACTTTTGACAAAGCAATGTAGGCAGCATGAGGATGGCCAAGACTGACCTCTGCCAGCTCCACAAAGGTCTCTGTCAATAACATCCATTATACAGAACCGATTCCTGTAAGGTCAGATGTGGTCTCCCACACTTCTGCACTTATTTCTGCTAGTTCTGACATCAGTATTGTTGCTTTACTGGATCCCAAATCCATGGCAATGCCTACACTGATGTCACAGAAACGTAGAGTGTGTATAGGGTTGATTAGTGAGGTTAGCAGGCTGTCATTCAAGTTGGCAGCTGGAAACAATCCTTCAAGTCCAGAAAACTTCTCAGGCGTATTCACAGGCCCTTTGACCTTTAGCCTTACAGCTAAGGTCAGTGTTACAAAGTTCCCTTCGCCCTTTTAGTTCTGGTGTGTTCCATTAGTCCTCCTGCACATTTGGGTTGAAGCCTTCTGACTCTTAAGGGGAAGCAATCCCAAGTTAGCTCTCTTGTCAGTCTCTGGGGTTCTGCTAAGGCTACTGTTACCCTTGTGTAGACCTAGGGCTGTCTAGGGCAGGAATCTTTGGTCCTGAAAGGTGTATGTTGCTTCCTTTTCCTTGGTATTGAGATTTCCAGATTTTGCTGAGTTTGGGAACGGAATCTACTCAATTTAATGTTGAGACTAGACAGGCCCCTTATGTGTAGACCGTATTTGTATGATCCTGGTCATCTGTGTAGCAAAGTAAAATTTAATGGCTAGAAAAACCACTTCAACCTTTGACAGCTCAGGGACCTCTCCAAAGTACTGAAGAGCAAGGATGTTATCTTAAAAGACTAAGGTATGCCTGATCCAAACCATACTATGTTTAGTTACTTGCTATGCATCTGAAAGTAGGACAGTGAATAAAGATGACAGAAGAAGTGATGCCTGGAGTTGTAGTGCTGGAGAAGAGTGCTAACTGTCCCATGGACTTCCAAGAGAAAACAATTATGTTTTGGAGAGGGTTCAGCCAGGGTGCTCCTTAGAGGCAAGGATGGTGAAGCTTCATCTTACTTAATTTGGGCATGTTGTTAGGAGGGGCTAGTCCTTGGAAAAGGACTTTGTGCTGGAAAAACAGAAGTTCAGTGAAGGAGGGGAAGACCCTCAATGAGATGGATTGATACAGTGACTAGAACAGTGGGCCCAAGTATGGCAGAGAGCTCTCACAGGGTTCAAATCATCTTCGTAGGATAACTATGAATTATATTGACTGAACAGCACCTGACTGCAACAACTGGTGGCCTAGTGGGTAAGTAGTTTCCCTGCCAACCCAAAGTCAGACAGTTGGAACCCACCAGAGCTCAAAAACATCAAGAACAACAGCAGCAGCTAATCTGAGACTCTTTATTCCTGGAGACTTCTTTGGAGTGCTCATTCTAACCTGCATTATTTGCCTTCTAGTTTCTTCCACAGCCATTAACATGTAGTATTTCTTCATTGCTTTGAAAGTTTTTTTGGTGTGTGTTGATTGGAGTTTAGGTATTTTTCTGTATACCAAGACTTTCTCATTTTAGATTATGTCCTTTTACTTGAGCACTTTGTTTCCATAAGAAAGAGTGGTTAATCCTTATTACTGAAATATAGCTTAATTAAAAATTGATACTAAATTAAAAATTGTTTTTATATCAAATAAGTTGTTACTGCATCAGTTTGTAACAGTCAATATTATCATTTTAAATAGAAGAAGCTCTTCAATATGGACATTTCAACATCAAGAAAACAACAGTTCTCACTACTAGTTCAGTAGGCAACATCATGAAAGAAAAAGACTGATGTGTTAACAGTTACATTTTACTTGGATCCATGCTCATGACTGTCAAAGAATCAAAAGATGTGTTGAATTGGGAAAATCCACTGTCAAGGACCTCTAAGTCCTGAAGAGCAAAGATGTCAGTTTAAAGGCATATGTGCAGTTTGGAAGCTCATAGGAGGGTCAGCTTTTAGTCATTTTCAACTCAATGGCCATGAGTGTGGATGCTTTGAGAGAAAGCTGAGATCTTATAAAGGATGGCCATCACTATCATCTTCTGTTGGTTGTTGTGTGGCGATTGCCTATCCTTCTGCTATCTTCTGTTAAAAGGATGATAAATGTGTAGGGATGGGTACACACAGGTTGGTTGGTTGGTTGGTTTCTGATCTTGACAAGCATTCTTTTCTTGTTACTGGAATTTTAGTCAACTGATGGCAGAAAATATCTAGAATATTTTTGATAATTACAAATGGCTCTTATTTTTGATAAGTACAAATACATTAAAATATATTAGTAGAAGCTAGCTTCTAATTTATCATCGCTGTAGAGACTATAGAATAAAAGTTATATCTTACATGTAGAAATGTTTTAAAAGTCAGTCATTCCCCTTTACTATTGACGAATATTTTTAAAATCAGAAAATGTTTTAACTTAGATCAGTTATCTTTATTTTTATGAATAATTATTTCCTCAACAAAACTGATAGTTTTTCAAGTTTATTATAAATGCTTTTATTTATTTTTTTCTAAATAAAATTGGCATAATTTTTAAGCGCCTGATCCAGGCCATGGTCTTTGTAATTACTTCAGAGAGCTGGACAGTGACTAAGGATGACAGAAGAAAAATAAATGCCTTAGAGTTATGTGCTGGAGAAGAGTCTTTAACATACATGGACCAGCAAGAAAACAAATAAGTCTTGTAGAGGGAGGAAACCAAATTTCTCCTTGGAGCAAGGATTTTGAAGCTCCATCTCACGTACTTTGGCATGTGGCCAGGAGGGACCAGTCCTTGGAGAAGGACATCATGGTCGGAAGGGTGGAGGGATAGCGCAGAAGAGGAGGACCCCTGTAAGATGGATGGATACAATAACTGTGGCAATGGGAGTAGGTGTATCGGAGTTAGTGAGGCTGGCTCCAGACAGGGCAGGCTTCAGAGCTACTGTACATAGGGTCACTATGAGTTTCAGGCTCCTTGACAGACAGTACATAACAAGAACAACTAAAATTAATTTATAACGGAATTTTCCCCATTACTTAATGGCCCTTGTTGTTAGAATTCATTTTGTCACTTTTTTTATAGGTGTCGTATTGTTGATTTTCACAAGTCAACTGGCCCTTTGGGTACACACCCTCGCTTATTTGAATGGATATTAAACTACTATTCTTCAGAGAGGGAAGGAAGTCCCAAGGTAGTGTGTACTTCTAAGCCTCCTATCTATCTTCAGCATCAAGGTTAGTATGACTCCTGAATAATAAACATATTTATAAGATGAATAAATTTACTTTTGCTTTAGGACAGGTTAAGATTCTGATGAGGGGGTGGATGGAGTGAGGCATTGTCAAGTTAGTCTAGCTAATTTGGAGTACTACTCTATTGTCTATTCTTGTGTAAGGATAAGAAGATGGGATCCCAGGATTCTTCAGGGCCTTTTGCTTATTTCAGTCTTCCCTTTTTGCTCATCCCTTATCTTCCTTAGGGCTTTACTCACATGTCACCTTAGTGGGTCTTCTCCAGTCTCCTTATTTTAAAATTGTGACTCATTTTAGCCCCTCACTACTAAAATTTTGTTTCTTGCTTCACCTTTCTTTTTTATTTTCTAACTTAAAATATGGCATCCATTTCCTAAATAATATGCCTCTGGAAACTCTATGAACTTTGATAAATGTCGATAATTGTAGAGGGGCTTCAGACTTTTTGTTCATAGGGTTGCAATATACCTCATTTTCATTGTAAAATGTTCTTCGTATTAGATTATCAGTTCTCTGAAGGCAGATGTGTTTGTTTTATTTTGTTTATTGTCTTATCCCTAGCTAACTAGAATTGTACTCATCATAAATACTTTTGTTGAATGGAAAATTTGGATTCAAAGAAGAAGTAAATGTGAGGAATTTTAATTTGTTAGACATATATAAAAAGACAATAGGCAATGTAGGGGTAGCCATATTTTATCTCCACCAACTCCACAAAGGAGAATTGTCCCTGTCAACAACAGTAACACAGAACCAATTCTTGTGAGGTCAGATATGTGCTCCACACTCTTAACACCTCTTTCTGCTCATCTCAAAACCAATCTTACTGCTTTACTGGGTCTGAAATCTGTTGTGTTAGTACACAGACCACACAGAGCCATATTAGGACGTCATAAGGCTATATAATTCAAGTTGGCAGAAAGATATAATCACTTAGTCAAGGAACCTTCCAAATGTGCTCGTAGGCTCTTCATCCTCGAGCCTTGTGACTTTAGGCCAGTTTTACAAAATTCTCCATCATGCCAATTATAACTCTCCTCCATAGAATTCTCACAACCTTACACATTGGCTCTTGGCTCTGGTTCCATGAGATAGCAGTCCCAAGGTCAGCTCCATGTCATGTCAGGTCTCTAGTTCACTGCTTTGGCCTTAATGGCTGCTGCTATAGGTCTATCTGTCACAACAGTCTCTGGCCCTAAATTAATTAACATGCCCTATTCACATTCTCCTGCCCATCCACATGACAGAGTCAAACTCAATGGCTAGGAAAGCCATTTTGAACAATAAACCCTTAACACCACAACATATAAGGCCTCCTCAGTGAAAAACCTAGTATATAAGTTTATTTCTGTTTATCCATGAAACTATTAAAGTTTTGGTTCTAAAGTAGATTTAGTTTAAATTCTCTAATTTGTGATAATTGATATGACATCCATACCCTGGCTGCTGGTCCCGGGCCAACCCAATCCAGCCTCTGAGCCCCAGATCTTTGCCCTTGTTCAGCAGGAAGTAGTTAGAATAAAGATACGTCACCCTTTTTCTCACTAAAGAGGCTGGGATGTCAGGCCCAGAACAAGGTCAAAGAGAAGAATGAAGGATCCAAAGAATATCAGCATGTCAAGAAAGGGAGTGAACAACCTCATCCACCTGGCTAAACCACAATGCAGTGTCCCTCCCTTCCCTCCCTAAAGACCCTTACTATAAAAATGTGCCTAGCCCACCTTAGGGTGCAATTTTTCCCTGGTCTTCAGACCAAGGAATCCCACCCGGGAGCCCCCTTTAAAAAGCTGCTTTAGCTTTCTTTATTGTATTGAAACAGATGAGGGAAAGAACAGATTAGAGGAGGTATATGATTGAGTATTATGGTTAGCACAGGAGTCAGAATTAAGGTTGCATAGAGAAGTGTACTCGGGGTGGGGGGTGGGGGGAAGGGATGTGGGAATTGTATACTAATGAAGGCATTTTTTTTCTTTTTTCTCTCTTTGGAGGGGGAAGCGAGCTGGTGGGGAGGGGTGGGAAGGGAGAAAATTGTGGCAATGAATGACTGGAAATCCAAAACCTCTGTAAAAAAAAAAGAAAAAATTTAATTAAAAAAAAAGGAAGGAAGTTGCAAAAAATTGATAAAGAAAAAAGTAAAATATATGACAGAGTAGAAGTATAGCTTTTTTTGTGTTGATGCCTTTAGGAAAATAAAGTTCAAGGAAAGACAACTAAAGCTTAAAGACTAGATTGAAAAGCTTTTTCTTTGGTATGGGAGTTCAGCAACATAAATATGAGAGAGTGAGTGTGTGTCTTTAATATACTATATAGCTGAAAAGGAACTCTGGTGACATAGTGAGTAACAAGTTGTACTACCAACCTAAAGGTAAATGGTTTGAATCCACCAAGTACTATGAGGGAGAAAAATGGACATTCTCCTCCGATGTGATTTGAAGCCTCTGAAAATCAACTGGAGGATCAGCTGTTGAGTCCGTTGTGACTTCATACCAACGAATAGATGGAGGAGCAATAAGTATATAGTAACATTTGTATGTGTACCTGTAAATAAATCACATATATGTATATGTGTACCTGTAAATAAATCACTTATATAGCTATAATTCTTATATTTTTGATAGGTCATAGCCGAACAATTGTTGGAATTGAAGAAAGAAAAAATAGAACCTTATGTTTACTAATATTTGATCCTGGATGTCCTTCTCGAGAAATGCAGAAACTATTAAAGCAAGACATTGAGGCTAATAGTCTCAAACAACTTCGGAAATTTGTAGGAAATCTAAAACATAAACAGTACCAGATAGTGGCAGTAGAGGGTATTCTTTCTCCAGAGGAGAAAGTCGTAAGTATCTTAAGTATTATCTTAAGGTTATAAGATTTTTTTGTTAAAATTTTGCTGCAGTTTCAAATCTACTAATGCTTCATTGTGTTCCGTTCAGTTGGCAAATACTTTTGGTGTTTAGTGTTATTTAATTTCTGGAATAGCCATCTTTAAATCTCCAGTGGTACCTAACTTTACTTACTTTAGTCAAAACCTAACAAACATATTAGTTTTATAATAGATAATTTTTAGTGTCAGGTGTGTGATGAGTAGTGAAAACATGTGTGGTAAGAAACCTGTCTTAATCTGAAAGATAAAACCTTATATGTTTTAATTATTATTTTATTTATTTAATTTTATTATTAAAATGGAACTTGTGATTCCTGAGGCTCTATTTTACTAGTTAGGTAGATATAGTTCTTTAATTTAATGCCAGTAAATTTGCCTCTTGTTTTAATTGCTTGCACTTAAGTGCTGAGTGGTAAATGATAGTAAAAAAAGAGTCAAGAAAACTTGGTATGTGATGGTGTATCAGATGGAAGCTATGTGATGACAAGTCAGATTTAGAGAATACACAGATCTAAAATCACAAACGAAAAGTACCTCTACTTGAATATTTTACACTGATAAGTTTCCTTCCAAAGAGAAGAGAGAGAAACAGTTTTGGTAGAAAGAAGAATCTTGGAGGAAAGGACTGAGAGTGTTTGAATGAGAGGTAAAGCTACCGTAATCTTTTTAGCAAACAATCAAAGAATACAGCCTTCAATACGGATTGCATCTCAGTGTCAAGAAGACCAAGACACTGGACTGACCAACAACATCATGATGGATGGAGAAAAGATTAAAACAGTCAACAACTTCATCTTACTTGAATACATAATTAACACCCTTGGTACTAGCAGTCAGGAAATCAGTTTATAATGGGAAAGTCTCCAGTTAGAGACCTCTCCAAATTATTGAGTAGTAATGATGTCAGTTTGAGGACTAGGGTTTGTCTGATTCAGGCCATGGTCTTTCTGATCACTTGCAGTGCATCTGAGAGCTGCATAATGAATAACAGAAGAATTATTGATGCTTTTGAGCAGTGGGTTGGAGAATAGAACTGAACATCTCATGGACTGCCAAAAGAACAAATACATCTTGGAAAAGGTGAAGCCAGAGTACTCTTTAGAGGCAAAGATGAAGAGGTCTTGTCTCACATACTTTGGGTGTGGCTAGGAGAAGCTGTTCCTTGGAGGGGGACATCATGCTTAGAACGGTGGAAGGTCAGCAGAAGAGAGGAAGACCTTCAACCAGGTGGATTGACACAGATGCCATGGTGGGCTCTCGTGTGTCAGGAGATGTGAGGATGGCACAGGAGTGGATGGGGTTAGGATCTGTTATTCATAAGGTCACTATAGGTTTTACTGCACTCACTGACACCCAACAACAACAGTCTTTCAAAACTGCAGAACTTGGGCTTCAGTTGTTAAAGAGTTTCTTTATTTTAATTATGATATGTTCCGGGGTTTTTTTTTTTTTGCAATGATTTATATACCAAAATTCCATTTCTTGTTGATAACTAAGAAGTTGGTGTTTTTAACCCCTTCACTCAGGGACGCTGTGAGAGATACAAATCTGCTTCCTTGAAGATTATAGCCAGGAACATCCTGGGGGTAATTTTATCACATAGAGAGAGACTCCAACTCTCTCCCGAGTTGGAATTCGTTCCATGAGAACTACCAGCAACAGTCACAACCATGTGGCCAGATATGCTTAGGGGTTGATTTAATTCTTACCTAAAACCTCAAAACATTTGCTCACTGGTACACAAACATTTTTGGAAGCGTGGATTTTGTGAAATACTATCTTGGAGTGGTTAGCTGTTATCTTTGTAGTTTTGAAACAGCTGCTTGGTGATAGAAGACTGACAGTTTGCTTCCCAGACAGTGGCTAGAACAGTGTGTTTAAAGCACAGGTGTGATTATGAGGTACCAAACCAGATATTCTTTCATTCTGCACACAGGATTGCTCTGAGTCAGAACTGACTTGATAGTAAACAATAAACAATATATTGAGAGCTCTGGTGGCCTAGTGGTAGCAATCTGCTCTGCAATCCCAAAGGCACGTGGTTTGAATCCACCAGCTGCTCCATGGGGAAGGATGAGTAGTCTCCTGTGCAATATGCTGCCACTGAAAACCCAGCTCAAAGGCTGGAGAGCTTTGGGTTGGTTCTGACTCGATGGCACATAATAACAATAACACCACTGTGTACCTGTTGATCCCTGGTGCCACAGCCTTTTCTAAACCCAGCTTGAATTTCTGGCAGTTCTTTATCTGTATACTCTTCTAGCCATTTTTTAACGACCTTATTTTGCTTGCCTGTGATATTAATGATATTGTTCAGTAATTTCTGCAGTCTACTGGACCACCTTTTTGAGAATGAAACAAATAAGGATCTCTTCCAGTTAGTTGGCCAGGCAGCTAACCTCCAGATTTCTAAAAGAATATAGTTTCTAATGAATTGCCTTCTAGCTTATAATTAACAATTTTTAAAAATTTCTTTTCCAGGCCAGAAGACAAGCTTCTCAAGTTTTTACTGCAGAGAAGATTCCATGAAGAGTGTTTTCTTGATTGTAGAATTAAACATCTTTTTCTAAATCCCCATACTAATCACCCTACAACTTATGGATCACAATTCTCTTAATGGCTCAATGTGTAATACAATTTAATTTCTAAGATGCCTCAATTATGTCAATTAAATTATGCCTTTGGTACCTTATGCTTAAGAATTATTTCAATAAAATATTTTGTTTAACATGGCAAGAGTTTCTGTTATAACCTTGAGCTAATATTTATTTAGAGTTTCTAGCTTCTTTCCACTAGACCACCAGAACTCCCTTAGTATCAAATATTGAATTCTAGGTTTAGCACTTGTAAGGAGTAAAATTCTGCATATAACTTTGTGTAATACATAAAGTATATATCTGAATATGTGTGTATGTATTGGTCCCATTTTAGACACTGAACTAATATTATTCTTATTAGTCATCATCATTTTATAGATGCTCATAGATTTAGTCTTCAGAATAGCCTTATGAGACAAGTGCTGTTTCTGGCTTTCCTAAGAAGCTAATTGAAACTTCAAGGTTTAGTGATTTTTCTAGGACATAGAGTTAGAAAATGATCAGGATCTAGAATCTGAACCCACAGTGTTTTACTTCCAGGCTCTTGCTTTTTGTTGTTATGCCATGTAGCTTTCTCCAGTTATTGTGTATTTAAAAAAAAATAATCTATATATCAACCTATACTTAATGTTCTGTAATGTCCTCCTCACAGTTCAACAATAGCCCTTCTGTTGCACAGGTTTATCTCTAGTGGCCACGTGATAAGGAGTTGCACTGCCAACCTAAAGCCATGCGGTTTGAATCCACCAGCTGCTCAGTGGGAGAAAAGATGAGCAGTGCCCCTCATGAGATTTACTGCCTCTGAAAACCTGCTGGAGGCTCAGCTATGAGTTGGCTCAGATTCAATGGCATGTAACAACAAAACCAACTATAATGGGAGTTCTGGTGGCATCATCTGTAGGGAGTTGTGCTGAGAAACCCAAGTCCACCTTTGTCTGGCAGTGTGGTGCTCTATCCTGTGCCAGTCTTATTGTCTCTGACTCACCTGTCTGCATTACCTCAGTCACTGAATCAATCCATCTCATCATTGGTGTTCTCCTGCGCTGTCCCTCCACTCTCCCAAGCATGATGTCCCTCTCCAAGGACTGGTCCCTCCTTGCAACATGTCTGAAGTACGTCAGATGAAGCTTCAGAATCCTTGCCTCCAAGAACAGCCTGGCTTCACCCTCTCCAGGATGAACTTGTTTTTTCTCCTAGCAGTCCAGGGTATATTTAATAATTTTCTCCAGGACCATAGCTCAAAGGCATCAGTTCTAGCAGGTTCAGCTTTCTCATGCATAGCAAGTAATTGCAAAGACCATGGCCGGCTGCAGTCCTTGATACTATTAAATATTTAGGGTCTTTTAAAGTGTTTTGTTAACTATTAGACTCTCATTTAATATGCCTTGTAGGAAAGGAAAGGATAGATAATGGTAGACACTGAAAATGCTATGTGTATTGGTTCCAATTTTTTGATTGTAAGTAATAAAACTAGCACACATAGGAATTCACTGGAAGAGGCTCACAGAGTCCACAGATAACTATAATGTGAAAGTATCCAAAGCACTTCTACGGAGTAGAAAAGTCTAATTTATAGTCTAATCAGTCTGGTGAGATTAGAATGGTCTAAATTAGAATGTGTGTTCAAAATTCAGATCCCACAGAAGATGGGAGACTGTATAGGACAAAAGTAGTTCCTCAAGAAGATATTAAAAGAGTGGATGAATATTCAGCAACAATTAAAAAGCAAGTGTTTACTACATCACACAAATGAAAAAGAATTTAACTTGAATAAAGTCTTATAAATTATTGGTACTCCACTTAAAAGTTGCACTCAGAAAATGAGACAGCTGTCGTTCAGTTTGGTAGCCACTTTTTCTACCTAGGCACTTGATCCTGCTTTAGGTCACCACTTTGCCAACTTAGAATTTTCCAATATTGGGTTTGTTTTTGTTTTATTTTTTTAGGGCTAATTTGCTTTTATATATATATATATATATATTTGCATATACAATTCATATACATTGTATTTCATTCATGTTTATTGTGTTTCACACATTCCTTCACATTGTGTTTCATACATTCATATGTTATAAAATTAATCACCATTGATCTATACATACCTACAATAACCCTCTTTCCAGGTCCCCAGTGGATCCTACCAGTTCCTTCACTACCACACCACCTACCAAACTTTGTCATCCTAGTGATTTCATCCCTTTACCGGATTCTACCCACCTATCCTCCATTCCCCTTTGAACTTTATACTCCTCTTACTTGTTACTCTTCTATTTTTATAGTAATTATGCAATATTTGTCCGTACAACACTGAGTTAGTTCACTCAGGGTAATGCTGTTTAGACTTTTCTGTTTTATAATAGAACTGACCCATTGCTGGCTCTGGTGGGTTTTCAGAGGCACAGGTGGAGATTGCTTGTCTTTATCCCACGGAGCAGCTGGTGGATTCAAACTGCGTGCCTTTCGGATTGCTGTGCAGTTTCTTTCCACTAGGCCACCAGAGAGCTCCCTTAGTGTCAAATACTGAATTCTCTATTTGCAACTTTTTGAGAAAGCGCCATACTGCTTTCCACAGGGGTTGCACCATTTTA